ACTTCAGCTTTCCTTTCCTCAGACCAACTTTGTTCCCTTTCACTGGCTCTGTGTCAATCTAGAGTGTGAGATGGGAGCAGAATAGGCTCAAGTGGCTCTCCCAGACCCACCCCACCAAATGCTTAGGATTACCTGCAGAACTTTGTAAAAATACACATTCTTTGGCTCTATTCTGAGATTCTATTTAAGGCAGTCTGGTGTGTTGCTTCTAATTCTGTGTTTTTAACAAGTTGCCCAGGTGATTCTGAAGTGCAGCCAAGTTTGGAAACAAACTAATATAATATGACTTCAGAATTATCTACATGCCCACCTCTCAAGCCCATGCTATTCTATCTGTCTGAGAATTCTTCAGAGATAGGCTGCTCACTTTCTTAGTCACTTCCATGTAGGCAGGTGGGGAAACCAGGGAGCTGGGAATTTAAAACTTTCTGGTGCCAGGATCTGCCACTAGACCAGGTAAAAGATCCAAGAAATCTTATCTCCTTGTTTTTGCCTAGTCTTGTTCCAGGAACGCCAGCTTCTTGCCAACAGAGTCACTCCCTGCCCTGCTTAAGGTCTCAGCCTTAAGGTCTCTTGAGTCTGAAAACCTCAGACTCAAGAGCTCAATTATCTCTCCTCTAGGCCACCAAATTCCAGCCTCTCTACTCTGTGGACCTTGGAATGAAACACCACTTCTTTATCCCCCTCCCAACAGTACCTCCATCTTCAACCCCTTGCCCTCTGCATCCCATCCTTCCTCAAGAGCAACTCAGTATTTCTGTCTCTGGCCATCACTGTCCTGACTACATCTCTCCTGACACTCATCTCCTCCTCTTCTTACGGTTTCCCTATCCTGTCATAAGCCATTCTTCAAAAAACAAGATGTAAGGAGCTTGCTGCTGGGTTTAGCACTCTGGAAACCAGATGGATTCTCCAGCTCTGACATGAGGATTACAACTCTAAGGTACAAATCCAGTTTTAAACATAGATTCTAAGTTATGACCCAATAATCCTCATATATCATATACCACAATAAACTCCAAATGGATAAAAGATTTTAAAATGTCAAAAATTAAACTACAGAAACAACATCATACAAAATGGCAGAGTAAGAAGTTACAGGGGTTGGTCCCTCCACAAAAGCAACCATTGAGGTGGAAAGAGCAATTGGAATTGACTCTTTCAGAAGTCTGGAGCCTGACTGGACACATATAACAAACCGGGGAGGGTGGTGCTTGATGAAGGGAGAGGTTGCTGATCTTTCAGAAGAGAGCATAATGTATGCACTAGCTACCAACCAACACAGTGGGGATAGCAGCCCACATTCCCGAAGTGGCTGGGTGGTCACCGAGTGGACAGGGGGAACCCTGTCCTCCAAAAATGAGGGGTTTTGCATTTGAGTTTGTATTCTGGTTCCCTAAGGGACAGGCTTGCTTGGTTTCAGCCCTCTTGGGCTGCAGCATCTTCCCGAGCCACATATATCAGAAGATTTAAAGGGACAGAACCTTTTTGCGGGGAAGGAAGAGAACCCTTTGCCAGGTCATAAACAGAAACTTCAGTAACCCCACAAAACAAAGAATACACACTTTGCAAAAAGTGGTTTGAAAAACTCACCACAAATTGATGGCACAGTTCTCAACAAGTATATATCATCAACCCCTAAGGAGTGAAAAAATTGAATTTCCAGAGATACCACACTGTAATACTCAGAATGCCCAGTTATCAACAAAAAATTACTAATACAAAGAAACAGGAAAGTATGGCCCATTCACAGGGAGAAAGGAATTTGACAGAGACTATCCCTGAGGAAGCCCAGATACTGGACATAGAAGATGAAGACTTTAGCTGTCTTACTGTAAATGCTCAATAAATATTGATGATGGGAGGCTTGATGATAAGGGTGAGGGGCTGAAATCTCAAATACTGTTTTGTTGCTTGTTTTATTATGATCTCCAATTAAATTGGGAAGTAATGGCCCTTTTGGAAAACAAAAAAAAAACTGTCTTAAATGTGCTCAAAGAGCTGAAGGAAACCATGGGCAAAGAGTTAAGGGAAATCTGAAAAATGGTGTATGAACAAAATGAAACTATCAATAAAGAGATGGAAATTAGTAAAAAGAAAAAATGACTCAAGCAGAAATTCTGGAGGCAAAAATACAATAACTGAAATGTACAATTCACTAGGGGCAATCAACAACAGATTTAAGCAGGAAAAAAAAAAGGATCAGTATTCTTGATGATAAGACAATTACAATTATCAAGCATGAGAAGAAACATAAACAAGCCTCAGGGATACCATCAAATGTACCTCATCAAAGGAGTCTCAGGAGGAGAATAGAAAGAACAGGGCATTAAAAAAATTGAAGAGGCCGGGCGCGGTGGCTCACGCCTGTAATCCCAGCACTTTGGGAGGCCGAGGCGGGCGGATCACAAGGTCAGGAGATCGAGACCACGGTGAAACCCCGTCTCTACTAAAAATACAAAAAATTAGCCGGGCGCGGTGGCGGGCGCCTGTAGTCCCAGCTACTCAGGAGGCTAAGGCAGGAGAATGGCGTAAACCCAGGAGGCGGAGCTTGCAGTGAGCCGAGATCGCGCCACTGCACTCCAGCCTGGGCGACAGAGCGAGACTCCGTCTCAAAAAACAAAAACAAAAAAAAACAACAACAACAACAACAAAAAAAAAAATTGAAGAAATAATGACAAAACATCTGAAATCTGATGAAAAGCATGAATATACCTACCCAAGAAGTTCACAAACTCTAAGAAGGATAAACTCAGAGATCCATACCAAGACAAATTATAGTCAAATTGTTGAAACCCAAAGTCAAAGGGATGATTTTAAAAGCAGCAAGAGAGAAGTAACTCATTATGTACAAGAGATTCTCAATAAGATTACCAGCTGATTTCAGAAACCATGGAAGGCCAAAAGACAATGGGGGATATATTTAAAGACTTAAGACAAAAAAAAAAAAAAAAAAAAGAGTCAAAAAAGAATTCTATATATCCAGCAAAACTATCCTGCAAGAATTAAGGAGAAATAAGACATTTCCAGATAAACAAAACTTAGGAAGTTCATTAATAGTAGACCTGCCCACAAGAAAAGCTAAAGGGAGAAAGAAAAAACACAAAAACAAAGAAAGAAATGCTAAAGGAAGACCTTCAGAATGAAACAAAAGGATAAAAAATAATAACTCACAGCCACACAAAGAAACAAAGATCTCTGATAAACATAACCACACAGCAGGCCGGGCGCAGTGGCTCATGCCTGTAATCCCAGCACTTTGAGAGGCCAAGGTGAGCGGATCACTTGAGGTCAGGAGTTTGAGACCAGCCTGGCCAATATGGTGAAACCCCATCTCTACAAAAAACAGAAAAATTAGCTGGATGTGGTGGCAGGTGCCCATAATCCCAGCTACTCAGGAGGCTGAGGCAGGAGAATGGCTTGAACCCGGAGGGTGGTGGTTGCAGTGAGCCAAGATCACACCACTGCACTCCAGCCTGGGCAAAAAAGTGAGACCGTGTCTCAAAAAACAAAAAACAAAACAAACAAACAAACAAAAAGTAACAACATAGCCAGATATGGTGGTTCACACTTGTAATCCCATTACTTTGGGAGGCCAAGGTGGGTGGATCACTTGAGGTCAGGTGTTTGAGACTAGCCTGGGCAACACAGTGAGACCTTGTGTCTACAAAAAATACAAAAATTAGCCAGGCATGGTGGCCCACTACTCAGGAGGCGAGGTGGAAAGATCACTTTAGCCCAGGAGGTTGAGGCTGCTGTGAGCTGAGATTGTGCTACCGCACTCTAGCCTGGGTGACAAAGCCAGACCCTGCGTCAAAAAAAAAAAAAAAAGATAAAAGCTAGTATTGTATTTTTAGTTTGTAGCTCCATTTTTTTCTATATAATTTAAAAGGCAAATGCATTAAACAATAATTATAAATCTATGTCAATGGGAACACAATGTATAAAGATGTGTGACAATAACAATATAAAGAAGGGACTAAAATGTATAGGGGCAAAGTGTTTATACACTATTGAAACTAAGTTAGTATTATTCAAACTAGGTTGTTATCAGCTTAGAATGTTAATTATAATCACCAAGGTATCCATTAGGAAAATAACTACAAAATATATAGAAGAGGAAAGCAAAGGGGAATCAAAATGGTTATGCTACAGACCAGGTGCAGTCACTCATACCTATAATTCCAGCACTTTGGGAGGCCAAGGCAGGAGGATCGCTTGAGCCCAGGAGTTCAAGACCAGACTGGGCAACATAGCAAGACCTCATCTATGGAAAAAATAAAAATTAAAAATTAAAACAGTAGCCGGACGTGGTGGCATGTGCCTGTGGTCCCAGCTCCTCAAGAGGCTAAGGCAGGCAGATCGTTTGAGCCCAGGAGTTCGAGACTAGCCTGGGCTAGACATAGTGAAACCTCGTCTCTACAAAAAATAGAAAAATCAGCCAGGCGCAGTGGTGTTTGCCTGTAGTCCCAGCTCCTGGGGAGGTTGAGGTGGGAGGATCACTTGAGCCCAGGAGGCGGAGATTTCAGTGAGCCAAGATCACACCACTACACTCCAGCCTGGGTGACAGAGTTAGACCCTGTCTCAAAAAAAAAAAAAAAGAACTCTTACAATTTAATAATCAGATTTGCTGGAAGGAGGGGAAGGGTATGGATCCTGGAGCGTAGTGAGGAGACAGTCATGGTGTACCAGGAGAGAGGTGGTGAGGCCTGCATGAAAGCAGTAGCTGGAAATAGAAGGAAGGCTCAGGCCCGACATACTCAACTGATGAGGACATAAAATTTGGCAACTGAGGACAGTCCATTTAGTTTGAGATAAGTGGGGCTAGGTGCCAGCAGATCCAGCTTTCAGGAAGGAAAAGGAGTGGGGATAAGGGAAGGGAAGTGAAAGTGCCTGGCTATATAAATAGCAGGCCAATCCCAGCCCACGCACAGACCCCCAACTTGCAGCTGCCCACCTCACCCTCAGCTCTGGCCTCTTACTCACCCTTTACCACAGACATGGCTCAGTCACTGGCTCTGAGCCTCCTTATCCTGGTTCTGGCCTTTGGCATCCCCGGGACCCAAGGTACCAAGGCAGGGAGGGGCCTTGGATGGGGCTAAGGGGACGAAGAGGCCAGGGTAGGAGCTTGCAAGCAGCCCCTGGCTCCCTGTGAATCCCACCCTGCAGGCAGTGATGGAGGGGCTCAGGACTGCTGCCTCAAGTACAGCCAAAGGAAGATTCCCGCCAAGGTTGTCCGCAGCTACCGGAAGCAGGAACCAAGCTTAGGCTGCTCCATCCCAGCTATCCTGTGAGTGGACACAAAGGGGTCGGTACAGGCTGGTGACGGGGTGGGAGGGCATGGTGGGCAAGACTAAGAAGGCTTACTAGCCCCCCCACCCGCAGGTTCTTGCCCCGAAAGCGCTCTCAGGCAGAGCTATGTGCAGACCCAAAGGAGCTCTGGGTGCAGCAGCTGATGCAGCATCTGGACAAGACACCAACCCCACGGAAACCAGTCCAGGGTTGCAGGAAGGACAGGGGGGTCCCCAAGAATGGCAAAAAGGGAAAGGGCTGCAAGAGGTGAGGAATCTGAAGGGACGTGGGTAAAGGGGAGCCTCAGTCAGCCCCTCACACCTCTCTTCTGCCCTCACAGGACTGAGCAGTCACAGACCCCTAAAGGGCCATAGCCCAGTGAGCAGCCTGGAGCCCTGGAGACCCCACCAGCCTCACCAGGGCTTGAAGCCTGAACCCAAAAGGCAAGAAGGAGGCTATGCTCAGGGGCCCTGGAGCAGCCACCCCATGCTGGCATTACCACACTCTTTCTCCTGCTTTAACCACCCCATCTGCATTCCCAGCTCTACCCTGCATGGCTGAGCTGCCCACACCAGGCCAGGCGCAGAGAGGCCGAGGAGGGAGAATCTCCCAGGGAGCATGAGAGGAGGCAGCAGGACTGTCCCCTCGAAGGAGAATCACCAGGACCCTGGACCTGATACTGCTCCCCAGTGTACCCCACCTCTTCCTTGTAAATATGACTTATACCTAACTGAATAAAAAGCTGTTCCGGCCTCCCACCCAAGTACCTGTTCCCATGTGTTTATGTCCACCGGGATGCCAAAGCCCCTACAAGGTGGGGTCACACATGCTATATTCCCATCTACCCCAAGAGTTTCCTTGCCTCTCGGGTGCCCACACCCCTAGGCAGTTAAATGGAGGTTGATGGACAGGGTAGGACCCGGTCTTCTGAGGAATCCTGCCAATGGAGAGATGGTGGACATGGAGCACACATCCCCAACAGCTCTGCAGGCCTCTGAGACCCTGAATCTGTTCAGCACTAACTCCAGGAGTGACCTTCAGATCTTTTCCATGACCTTCAGACCTTTTCCCAGCTATCTCAGAGACTTCCTCTCCTTTCCCTGGGAACTAGTCAATAAGACCCTCCAAGTAGTTCTTTGGAAGGGTCCCTAGGAGGGAAGCTGTGGCTTGGGCCCATCTATAACACAGACAAACACAAGTTATATTTAAACCTACCCTAGCACAGTTCCAGCCCTGAGAGAGCCCATGGAAGGCAAAGACCCAAGGGGACTTGCTTCAGCCCTATTCAGTGAAGCTCGGGCCTCGACCTCTCCTCTTTGTTTAATGGGGCTGTTGTGCTCTCTTTCTGTTTCTATCTGGGCCCCTGGACTTGCTCAGCCTCCTTCCAGATGGAAAAACCTCCTCCCTTTTTCTCCCCTCCTTTCTTTCCTGGCTGAGATCCAGACTACTTTAGTCCCTTAAACCCCTTGAAGTCAAGGAATAAGTCTCCTGGATCAGGTTTTCAGAACCCCAGGATTCAGGTGTGAATCAGTCTCCTCTCCTGGAAGGCCCCAGATGGCTCTCCTTTACCTCTTCCTCCCCAGAGTGAAGACCCTTCTATATCCCCACTCACTTCCAGGCAGGGAGAGAAGAGGCCATCAGATTGGGCCGGGCAATGTGAGAAAGAAGGGAACAGATCCTGGGGAAGGGCGAGAAAGGTAGGAACCTCGAGACTGGGCACAGTGGCTCATGCCTGTAATCCCAGCACTTTGGGAGGCCAAGGCAGGCAGATCACAAGGTCAGGAGTTCGAGACCAGCCTGGCCAACATGGTGAAACCCCGTCTCTACTAAAAGTACAAAAATTAGCTGGGCATTGTGGCAGGCACCTGTAATCTCGGCTACTCGGGAGGCTGAGTCAGGAGAAATACTTGAACCTGGGAGGCAGAGCTTGCAGTGAGCTGAGATATGCCATTGCACTCCAGTCTGGGTGACAAGAGCAAGACTCTGTCTCAGGAAAAAAAAAAAGAAGAAAAAGAAGAAGAAAGGTAGGAACTTCAGAAGCTAGAAGTGGCTGCTCCGTCACTTTTTCCTTTTGTAGGCACCTGAGTATGCCACAGCACTTACCACCTATCCTAACATCTGCAAGTATTGGCTTGTCTGCTCCTCTTGCAGCAGGTGAAGACAGGGCCTCTCCCCTACCTGTCCTAGGGCAGCAGGTGTTAAATTAATCTATAAACTCAGATATGCAAGAAATACTACATTTTGATATGTTCCTTAAATGAACTTAATTCCTACTACAAGCTACTGCATTAGAGTGCTGATGAGAAATTCAACACCAGGCACTCTTGGGGGATCCCATCTGCCAAGGGTTATGCAAAGGTCACGGAAACCTCAAGGCCCACGGGAGGCCTCCTACCTACCTCCCACGCCATCTCATAATTGGACATCATTCTCACCAATAAGTGTTCTGACCCCTGTGGGTCCAGCAGGTATATTTCTTCAAGTCCTAGACTCCACATTTGAGACATAAGAATTCAGATATGACAGCCTCTGGGCTTGGACTTGGCCTCCCCAGATACCCCCTGAAGCCATCTACTCAACAGTCCTGTCACTTGCCCCATCACAGCCAGAAATTAGAGCCCAGTGCCCACTCTGGCTGGATGTACACACTAATCCCTTTGCAGTCCTAAAGAATTATCTCCCTCTCCTCAGCCCCTCCAGGGCATAACCTCTTCCCCAAGTTTACTTTCTTTTTTTTTTTTTTTTTTTTTTTTTAAGACATGAGGCTTGCTCTGTGGTCCAGGCTGGAGTGCAAAGGTAGGATCATAGCTCACTGTAACCTCAAACTCCTGGGCTCAAGGGATCCTCCTGCCTCAGGCTCCAAGTTGCTGGGATTACAGGTGTGAGCCTCTATGCCTGGCATTTTCCCCTGGTTTAAGACATTTACAAAAAGCCTTTGACATCAGGCTCACTTTGACATCAGGACATCACTCCCAGCCCTGCCAAAACTCTTGCCTACTCTATAGTGAAAAGAAAAAGGCAGACAAAAACAAAATTCTCTATTTCACTAAATTCTCCTGCCACACCTGCATGCCTGGTATTTGCCTCAAGCCCTGCTCTGAGAGGCATGCAATACATTATTTATTCCATCAGATCATGAGTGGCCACTCTCCTTGTCTGCCTTCATCTTTGACAACATTGTCCTGTTCTTTCTCTTTTCTTTCTTATTCTCTTGATGCATAACTCAAAAAACAACACATAATACACACTCACAGTTAAAAAATACATCCAAAAGTACCAAAAGGTTTATTCTGAACATCATTTCCTACAATTTTAACTCTTAGGCTATTTCTTAGTGCCATATGTCTAAGTACTTTGCCTATACCTCTGTTTCTTGATTTACCTATTTTAAACATTACCAGATGACTTCCTACTATAAAAAGTGAAGATTTAACTCTCTTGCCAACTCTCCTGTCACTGCATCCTCTAAATATAGTCATACCATGATATTTAGATCATGATTATATTATCACATTTAGATCATAATTACAGTTTATATTATTGTGGATTACTATTACATAATATGTATTATCACATATTACATTATTTTGACTATATAAATGTTCTCTGCAGACCAAAGTAGATCACTTTTCCTTTGTCACTCAGCTTTTTGTTTTTCTTAAAGGTTCTAATGCCCTTCCCTTTTTAAAATACCTCTATCTTGACATTACCTTTCAAATTCTTCATCATATGAGATGGATTCAAAACATCATGTTTAAGATATACATAGAAGAAAATATAGGTGAATGTGTTTATAACTTCGAGGTATAAAATAACTTTTTTTTAAAATGAAATGGAGACCGGGTCTCACTGTGTTGCCCAAGCTGGTCTTGAACTCCTGAGCTCAAGCGATCCATCTGCCTCAGCCTCCCAAAGTGCTGGGATTACAGGCATGAGCCACTCTGCTTGGCCAAAAAGAGTTTCTTAAACAAGACATAAAACCATAAAACATAAATCATCAAAGATCAACACCATTAAATTTTAAAACAAGTGGGAGTTCAGGGTAGGGATGGAAAATTAATTACATGACTTTATTTTCACTTCTCGCTGAGCCCCGACTAAAACTACAGTAAATTTTTTTGGTGCATGTATGCATGTAAAGGCATAAACCAAGGCCAGGCACGGTGGCTTACACCTGTAATCCCAACACTTTGGGAGGCTAAGATGGTCACTTCAGCTCAGGAGTTTGAGACCAACCTGGGCAACACAGTGAGACCTCATCTGTACAAAAAATCAAAAAAGTAGCTGGTGTGGTGGTGTGCACCTGTGGTCCCAGCTACTCAGAAGGCTGAGGTAGGAGGACCACTTGAGCCTGGGAGCCATGTAGCCTGGGCTAAAAAGTGAGAGACCCTGTCTCAAAGTAAATAAATTAATTTAAAACACAAAATAAAATCATAAACCCACAAGGGCCCAAATGGAAGAGGAGATAAAGGTAACTTTCCAAAAGCCTACTGCTGAGACACGTAAATATTTCAATAAAAATAGATACAAAGCATAAAATAAAATTATAAATATGAAGTATTTCTAATGACTTATGAATACAGTAAAAATTCATATTTACTGAATATTCATATGCCAATGTCCAACAGGGAAACAATTAATGACTTCTACTAGAAATGTAAAAAGACAAAAAATCCTAAAGATGAATTATCTCTAAAATCTACAAAATCTTCATTCCTTAAGCATGAAAACTCATTGTAATCCCTGGAATCCTGACTTTTCTTCATCACAGAACCATAGAAGCACTTTATTGCTTTAAAAGTGAGTTATCACTATTTTCTAACAATGAGTCCTCCTCAGTGTCATCCAGAAAATTATTAATACCTTGTATTTTTGCTGTTTTTATTTGCTCCTTTTTTGAGATAGGGTCTTGCTCTGTCACCCAGGCTGAACTGAGTGGCGCAATCTCAGCTCACTGCAGCCTCAACCTCCTGGGCTCAAGCAATCCTCCCACCTCAGCCTCCTGAGTAGATAGGACTACAGGCACACACCACCACGCCCAGCTAATTTTGTTCATTTTTTGTAGAGATGAGGTCTCGCTGTGTTGCCCACGTTGGTCTTAAAACTCCTGAGCTCAAGGGATCCTCCCACCTTGGCCTCCCAAAGTGCTGGGATTATAGGCATGAGCCACTGTGCCTGGCCATACCGTGTTTTTAAATAATTTCACCACTATCTCTTCCATGAAATGATAACATACACACACACTAATGAAATAATGGGCTGACTCCTACTTGTCAGTGTTGCCTCAGAATCTCCTCCTGCTTCTCTCAGTTCACTCCTTCCTTGTCAATATTTTAAGGGCTTCTTTGATACAAATATAGAGGATAGGTGGGAC